GTCAAAAATAAAATAATAATTAGTACATGTGACAATACGTATTATGTATACCGGTTTATGAGACCAATTTCAAAATCAATCTTAAGCAGCTCTATCATTTTTTCCTTAATAATGTACTCCCTCCGTCCCATAATTATTACCTAGTTTGAATTTTTATTTCTAATTTAAATTGTACTAAAAGTGAGATCTCAAATTGTACAATAATTTTGGGGCAGAGAGAGTAATTGTTTTTGAACCCCAAAATAAATATTAATTACTTGAAGAAGAATGAACCTAAAAAGTTAGGAAATAGTTTGGTACTGCCACGGCAATGTATTGCTTAATAGGCCCCATAAAAAATGGGCTTTGAAGTCATTGGAATACATTATACAACCGAGTATAAAATTACCATTTGCGTGGAATTAAAATTCTATAAATAAAAGGTAGCCGTAGAAGAAATATTAGGCTTTATCAGGCCAATATCCAGATGGTATAGGCCCATGTTTAACCAATATAAGCCCAAAGTACTTTCAATGATTTCAGCCTGTAGTCCTTGATGCCCAACCGCGAATTAAAAATCACAAAAGACCGGATATATTAATACTCCCTCCATCCAAAATTATTGTTCAGTTTATATTTTAAATTATTGTACAATTTGAACTAAAAATAAAAAATATAAACTGAACAATAGTTTTAGGATGAAGAGAATAGTATTCTCTTTCTCAAGAGATCATACTCCCGTTGTAATACTACTTTACATACCTCGAAAATATAAATAAGCGTGGTCTAAAAAAACAAAACATAAACCTTGTAGGCGGCCAGCCCCGAATTTGAAAGGTTGGTTCCGCCACGGAATATCTTTTATGTTGAATTATGTTGAAATATGTAAACTAAAAGGGATGAACTCGTATATTTTCAAAAACGCACAAGAAGCATTATTAATATCAAAATATTAGTAGGGACGCAGAAAGTTCAACTATGAATAGAAGTCACAAGTAATTAAATCCGTAAGGGGGAATATGCCATCGGGTTGTTTGAACTTTCACATTAATTCTAGATTCAGCCATTGAAAGCAAGGTCTTAATAGAGTTTTGGGTTAAACATTTGGAAGAAAATATCTTGAAATTTTGTGATAGTTACAATGAGCATTACTTGTCACTAAGCTGAGTTACACAATTTCGTCATATGTCACAAATTGCTAATCCCTTGTGGAGTAACAATAGATGAAGCCTGGCTGGATAACTCTAGTTAGGGTTTGGATACCCCACTTTGATTCTAATTGAGTTCGCTATAGAAAGGAATGGAAAAAAATAATGAAAACAAAAAACATACAGTACATTAAAGGAGGAAATAAAAGGTTAGACCTTTGCCTCCATATTGTAGGGACTTGTTCATACCAATTAATGAATGCCAAATATCTAAAAAGAATTTGAGGTGATCTCAGGGGTTGCACAGGTTGGAAAAGACCCCATACAAGTCCACAAATATGTTGAATCAAAATGTCTACAGATAATGAAAACGTGCAATTTGCCACAGTGAAGTTTCCAAAACTGTTTCTTTTATTGGTTTTTCTTTTTCATATATTTATCGTCGATAACAATATTAAATTTCCCTTTAATGAATTATAAGTATTCTAATAGATGCATAAGACATGTAGTTAATCGAATTTAAGATTTTTTTTTTGTCTATAGAAATGTTTAAATACCCGATTAGATATAAACGAGTCCTTACTATTCAATTACAACTTCTTTTAATTTCCAAAACTGTTTCTCTGATGCTTACTATAAATGAACATAGGGCAACGAGTTCCTCAGGCCTTGTTTTCAATCTGCCCGTCCAATTATGCAATTTTGGGACCAAGTTCAATAAACTTTAAGCTCGAACATGACAAGTAGGACACGTTTGAATATCATCAAATCTAAAAAGTTTTAATGTCTCCTGATGGACTAACTTCACGTGTAACGGTCTGCTTACTTGAAAACTAATCTCCAAATAAAACCACAAAAAAATTGTCATTCATTTTTAACGTACACTTTTAGAAGCCTATCATGTTGGGGACTAGCTGGCCGGGCTTCTGATCAGTTCGAGATGACATCAATCTTGTTCGGGCACAATGACGTACCAACTAAAAGGCATGATGGCACTTGCAAATAAGTTCCATTGTTTTGTTTTGGTTTGTTTTTTATGGTTTCTTTCTTTTGGTTGTAGCTCTTTTAAGGCAAGTGATTTTGCCAGGACACTTTTTAGTATCCAGGGCAAAACTGACCTTCCTACCCTTATCATACCTTTCTATCTTCTTCCTCGGTTCCGTGTCTCTGTTTTGTCTTCTTTAATCTAATTTCCGTCGCCGGCTTCTTCTTTCCAATAAATCACATCCTTCTTCTTTCTATCCCACAGCGGCTACAATAAAATTTTCAATAATTTTACTGGCGGCAAGCAATACAACACTGATATTTTCCTCCATCTTCTCGGCAATGTTTTTCTTTTTTTTTTTCTTTAACTTTAATTTTATAGCATATATCGGAATTTTAATTCTAAAAAAACCCAAGCCAAGAATAAAAAGATCAAATTGGGTGGGTAAGTTCTTTGCTTCAATTTGATTGATTTTTAGTGGTAAATTTTATTTGATTTAAATTTATCATTGCTTTGTGTGTTTGATTACTTCAAAGACCTGATCTACAATTTTTTTGAATCAGATTGCTCCTTCAGCCTTCACGTTTTTCTCTCCTTTTTTGGGCGTTGATTTGGCGTCCAAGTTTTTCAAATTGAGATTTGAGTTAGACAAATAAGAAGCCGTTATGTGATCGATATTTGGCGTTAAGAGTGTGATTAATTTTTGCTTAGATGGGGCAATCTCTCTGAATATATGTTGTGAGTTTGTGATATAGATGCTGGAGCAATTCTTGTGATGTATTATACGAAACCCAAGAAACTCTGCAAACTCACGATGAGGATGATGCATTTTGACGTAATTGGAGTTTGGACTGAGATGTGTTTGCAATTTGTTATGATAGCCATAGCATAGCAACATTTGTGTACTTGTGGGAATATGTTGTACTGTTTATTCATTGTTGTGATTGATAGCTCTTGGAATTGGATTTAAAACAGGGACATAACGAAATGAGACAAGTTTCGATAAGGGTTTTTTTTGGAAAGAGAAGTAATTTTTTGCCCTGGATGCTATTTTTTGTACTGGCAGAATCAGCATCCCTCTTTTAATTGTGAGGCAACTTCACACCCCGACAAGTTGAAACTATACAAATTTCTGTTCCATGGCTTTTAGCCATAAATAGATAAAGAGAAAGCATCCAATAATTGTTCGAACAGTTTTGCCTTTGGAAAAAAAAAAATACTGATACAGGGCACGTAATATAAAAAAGGATAATGATTCGTAAGGGAAAAAATGACAAGGAAAAATTACAAGAAATTGATTATAACCATTTATTTTTAACACTTTCTATTTAGGATTTAAGCATTTAAGGTTATGTTATAGTTTAGATGATTCACAACCCATTCTTTATATGTTTTCCTTGTAAATTTTCTTTGCACGTATCATTACTCTATAAAAAAATATATATTCTAACTTAAATTTGACTTAGTTGGAGAGATGGTTTCAAACATCGGATACATGAAAAATAATTAAGTTACTCTAAATAGTTTGTTGGGAAGAAAAAATGAAGAAGATATAAAGATGAATACAGTTTCGTACCTCAGTGCAGTTCGAAGTATGAAAATGTTATTGCAGTTCGAAGTATGTATTGCATGGAACGAAGTCAAATGGATTGATGCTAGATTGCAATTAAGACACTGAGTTACTCACGTTGCTTATAAGTAGTTTGGAGAAATGGTTATATATTTTCGTCCCAAACTATGGATAAAAAAAAAAAAAAAAAATTACGTTTCCAAACTATGGGACAGATTGAAAATATCATATTTAATGACTCCCACTAAGTTAAAGGAATTTTCCGTTTCCAAATTAATTCAAGAGGAAATGAATTTGAAGATCTGATGAATGCATTATATCACTCATTTTGACTCCATTCATTCAACTAACAGAATCAACCAAATCCAATGTTAGCCGTTAAAATCTCTTCAACTTAATCAATGGAATTTGTTCAACTTGATAATTTTTGGACGTATTTTGGCTATGTTCTGTGGTTTGGGATGGAATTTTACTATTTCCACATTGTAGTTTGAAACGATCGAAAACGAACATTTCAAGTTCAAGTCGATAACCATTAATTAATTGAGTTTTGAAAATTCAAGGTTGTTTTTCTTATATTTATATTTATTTTTTTCCCCTCAAAATTCACAAACTCTTTTTTTTTCCCCCTTAATCTTATTATTAGATATATAAAAGTCACATTGAATGTATGGATTTGTTTCACTTTAAATTAAGATTTGATTCTTCAATCGTCTGAAATGTGTTTGACGATAGATGATGTCATGATTTTGATTTTGAAGATAATGAAGTATTATCCCGGCCTCATCAATCTTTTCACCAAATCGTTATATGGACATCCAAGAAAAATTATCAATGAGGTAATAAATTATGAGTGAAACAATACAACAATTCTGAATCTTATATATTTTTGGACAAGTGAAGCAATAAATTATCAATGAAGCCATCACATAACATTTTTTTTTTTTGAAAAAATTACTAAATTTTATTAACGAAAATGATAGACAACGGCAAAAAAAAAAAAAAACCCCCCAAAAATACAAATTATAAATCATTACAAAACTTGACGCCTTATCAAAGTAATTGTGTTTATTTTGGATAAAACTATATCGCACGAAATGATTTGACATAAATGAGAAAACATTATGTAAAATTACATCATTTGACTAGTGTATCATTCATGGCATAGAAACAATCTTTGCATTTAATCAATTAACTATTCTGTACCACCTTTCTAATCAACAGTTTAATTGCTAGTGATTTTCATTCTATTCCCTCCTCCGATATTCTACTATAAATAACCCTACTTCCTTGTTTGGAAGACACTCATACTTCTTCATTGTTCCTAAAACTTCCATCCTTATTTTGATTCTTTTAGATCTTCTAGCTAGACAAGAAAAGGGTTACATCAGCCCATTTTTATATTATTCTTGATCCGCATTATCATTCACCAATGTCCTCTTTTCTTTGATTGAGTTCAAAACTTGTTTTTCATGCTATATTTTGTTTGTCTTTTCTATCAACATTTTTTTGTTCCTCATACAAAAAAATAGAAAAAGAAAAAGGCAGATTAAATTAGTTTATTACTTCCCCTTATTCCAATTTTTCTTGCTCCAAGTTAAAATGGATGACACCTTCGCCATTTCCAACCAAAAAACTACAATCCCAAAAGAATACATTTGGCCTCAGAAGGATTTAGATCTTGCAGATGAAGAACTCAAAGAACCAGTTGTGGATCTTCAAGGGTTCTTCAATGGTGATTTGGAAGGAACTCAACATGCAGCAAAGCTTCTTAGAGCTTCTTGTTTGAAACATGGATTTTTCCAAGTGATTAACCATGGAGTTGATCAAAACCTCATTGACATGGCTCATCTTCAAGCTAAAGCTTTCTTTAAGCTTCCCATGTCGGAAAAACAAAAGGGCAAGCAACAACTTGGAAGCAAATGGGGGTTTTCCGCTGCTCATGCTCATCGGTTCTCGGCGAAATTGCCTTGGAAGGAAATGTTTACATTTTTCTTCCATCAAAATGGCTCTAACGATCTCGCTGCCGTCGATTTTTTTGAGTCATTCTTTGGGGAAGGATTTGAGGAGATCGGGTAAGGCTTGTTAACTTTTTCAACATCATATTTAAACCTTTGTTTTTATGGCTTTTAGTTATTCTTTTCGAAGAACAAACGATGAATAGTGTGTTTTTTTTTACATCTTTAATTACTAGAGAAATTTGAGAGTGTATTGATTTTTGAGGGTGGGATTGTTGCGTTTTATGTATGGATTTCCATACACGAAAATTGGGTTCATGGTTTTGGACTTATTACTAAAATAATAAAAGATCAGACTACATACGCACATTTCACTTTTCGTGTTTCATTTGCGTATCATCATCATCACAAAGTTGTGTTAACAACCACCTTAAGTTATTTAAGCGGGTAATTTTTAGGTTTTAGCCTCCACAGTATATCGACTATAAACAAAGAAAAATGACAACTTAAGTTACAATTGACGTTTCGTTTGGAAGTTAATTTCGTCATTATAATGATATAGTTTCATTTAAAAATGACCCACGAATACAAATTAAAAAATTCATCCTTCCTACAAATTAAATGTATAGAGATACATTTTGAGCATAATGACTGTTATTTATTATTATTGTTTCGCCTCAAATGGGATTTAAATCCTGAATTTTGATGAGATTTTACCAATAATCGTACCAAAGAGGTTAGGAACCCTTCTAGAAAAGGTCAATTTGTAAATGCATAGTACTGTTTGTATCCATGCTAATGATCTTCGTTTGTCTTTTTTGTCACAGATTGGTATTCCAAAAGTATTCTGAGGCTGTGAACAAATTATCTCTTTCGATAATGGAAATTCTGGGAATTAGCTTGGGGATAGATCGATCTTACTTCAAGGATTTTTTCGAAGATGGAAATGCAATTGTGAGAGCCAATTACTATCCAACTTGCCCAGAACCAGGATTAACCCTTGGGATTGGACCACACAGCGACCCAACCTCCATAACTGTTCTTCACCAAGATGAAGTTGGAGGGTTACAAGTGTTTGTCGACAATAAATGGAAATCTATTCGACCAAGGCGTGATGCTTTTGTCATCAACCTTGGTGACACTTTTATGGTATGGTCCATTTTTTGATGAAAAACCAAAACAATTAACTTGTTTAAATGCTGTATATTCATTAACTACCCATCAATCTTATCTCAAATATCTTGATTTGTTTGTTACTAGGGAATCACATGCTTGTTTCGTACGTTTTTAATTTTTAGCGTGTCCGTCTTTTTCTTACTGAAAATATATAAAGATATGTTAGGAAAAACGTTACAAACAGAGTTTTATATTTTAGCGCGAGGGTTTTGTATTTTTTTTTTCTTACTGCCTTTTTCACACTTATCTTTGCTTGTATATATAGCTTGTAAGACCCTATTAATTACTTGAACTTTATTTTTTTTCCCCCAATGTGCTCAAAGATTCCAATGAATGGTACAGTATCTCTGAATTTCTTTTCTCAAATCGAACGTTGTCAATGCGGGTTGACCTATGCTTTGATAATTTTGAACAATTGTCTCACATCTCTATTAGCTATGCCTTGATAATTTTGAACAATTGTCTCACATTTCTTTTCTCATTTTGGATATCAATGTCTTTTAAATCAGTTCCTTGTTTTCATTTTGTTTAGCAAAAGAAACGTTGTGGGAACTTGCTATCGGGATAGGACAGTTTTTTTTTTTTTAATAAAAAATTATCTTTGGTAGTTAAGACTACTTTTTCGTTTTTTTTTTTCTTTGGTTGTTTTACAAAGTTGTGATAGAAATAGTTAGATGTAAAAATGTTAATGAAAATCTATCCCCTGTTGTCAGAGAAAAGATAGTGAATGTTAATTTCCATCATATTTACTTGAGCAACATTAGGAGTCAAAGTTAGTCATAACTTTTACAGAACTAGCTTACGGAGTTACAGATACTATTAGTCGTAACTGTTTCTATTACATACTTCATTGATCGATTAGTTTTTCTTGATTGAATCCTTTTAATTTCATTCCTTTGAGTCCCGAAATGACTACTACTACTGCAAACATGACAGTTATTTTTGAGACGGAGAAATTATAATTTACGAGGGTTTAATGTGGTGTTTTTGATATTCAGGCGTTAACAAATGGAGTATACAAGAGCTGTTTGCACCGAGCAGTGGTGAAGAAGAAGACAGAGAGAGTATCATTGGCGTATTTCGCGTGTCCAAAACATGACAAAACAATAAAACCTCCGGAAGAACTGATCAAAGAAGATGAGCCAAGAAAGTACCCAGACTTCACATGGTTTGATTTTCTTAGCTACACTGAACACTACAGGGCTGATTCAGCTACACTCCAAAACTTCATCAAATCCTTACCTATTTCTTCTTTCCAATCTAATTAGTAAAAACCATTGATTTTCTTCGTTTTTTTCTTGTCATTGGGCCAAAGGGATTCTTTCTCTCTGTTGTCCCACCACAAGAACACATTAATCTTGGACTGTTTCTTTTTTGTCTTCTCTTCTTATTTCTAAATTTATGCGTCGGTTGAATAAATTTGGATAGTATGATAGAACTCGAAAGATCTATTGCAGCATTAGTAACAGTGTCCGATTTTACATTTGATTCTAGTCTTCAATCCAATTTATTTATGTAGGACCGATTTAATTGTTGTTCTTCTCTGGCCCATTTTAGTAGTTTGCTCTGTTGAACTGATTTAGCAGTCAACAAAATGTGATTATTAGTCACTGTTATCAACAGTGGATACTCTATCATATGTAAAAAAAATGTGATTATTAAAAATTAGACTGATGAAGTATTATTTTGTCAATTTCATTTTATTTTGGAGTTTTTTTTTTGGAATCTTATTATTTTACCGTGATAGGATTGTATTTTTTATTTTTATTTTTAATCAGGAAGTTGCAGTTATAGACTTTTATCCTTATTAGTATCATACCCACTCTTCTTGCCAATAGGTCTCCAAGGTAAATTTCAATCACGGTCCAATAATTAGGGTTTCTGATGTTTCTCCTCCTCCTTCTTCGTACAAGTGTTAAAACAAACAACACAACACAAAACAAATTTTCTTTCAAGAAATAGTTCTCCACCTGAATTCGGCCCCAAATCCAAATTTAATCCATTTTTGGGGAAATTATTTTAGGCCGATTGTTAGAAAAAATAAATTTGATATAAAAAAATCCTTTAAGATATTTTATTTCTTGTCAACAACGTTTAATGAATCGCAACCACAAAAAAAAAAAAAAAGAAAAACAAAGAAAAAAGACCATAAATTGACTTAAAAGTTAAATGGAGATTGTGAAATTTTTATGTTATGATGAACTAGAAAACATAACAAACAAGAGAACAAACACAGTCGACGCCATCACTGATGTAATTCTCTCTCTCTCTCTCTCTCTCTAATTGAAGAAAAGTTCACGAATACTCCAACAGGAAGAAAGTTTTGATTTTGGACTATTTCTCTAAAATATGTGACACATATACTCTGTAAAATAGAGCCATTGTAACATCCTGTTCCAAGCTAGGTCATTTTCATACTGAAATGTGACTGATGAAAATTAAATTATCCATTTCTGCTTTAAAATGATTGTTCTCGTTCATACTGAAATCAAACATATCGAGATTCTGATATCACTTCTAATTCCAAAAAATGGATTATTTGTTAGTACGTACTTGGGACCTTATTCAGTTGGAGAACTCTTTCTTGAATGAATATATTATACCAAGTGATTGTAAAAACAGATAATTTAGACTACGAAATTAAGTGATTTTTTCTCTAATTCAAATACTTACCATCACGACAAGGATGAAGTTGGACAATCAATATATAAAAAATAATTTTTTTTCACCAAATCGTAAGTATCTTTCATGAATTCGATGTTTGATGTATCAAAACATATTGCATGACAAGATAACTAGGTAAGATCATTTTCATACACTTCACGTCACAAAACGATATTGGTTCTATTTTTATACTATTTGCAAATAAAATGAAAAGGATAATCATTTTAGAATAAAGAAAATATGAATATGTAAATATTTAAAAGGCACAAATGCACAATGAGATACAGTAAATATCAACCTATTGAGCGTACATACATTGTTCTAGAAAGATCTTTGAAGGCTTTACAGCTCTTATGTATCAGTTTTTTTTTTTTTTTCTTCAAAAGAACTCTTCCAAATTTGTTTGATTCGTGGGCCAATCGATTAATGGAGCATTGATTTTGAGGATCAATTTGGAAAGATTTTCCAACAATTGGCATCTTTGATTTACATCTCCATTAAATTAGGACATTCATTTGTGTGAATTGTGATCAATTTCTGACTCCTCCATGCGCCACAAAAATTGTAGGAAACAGAAGAATTAATTAGGATCGATCGATCCGCTCAAAATTCAAGCAGAATAATGCTAAATAATTCAATGTATGCTAAACAAACGTAACAAAAAACAAATGCACGAGGGTTGTCCTTTTGCAAAATGAAATAGTAGGACAAATGAAATTTGGATATAAAGAGAGCAAAACCTAAAGACAAATGAATTTCATCTACTTTTTGTTGATCATAAGGTGCCTTTGATCTGCAGACATACGACCGCATTCATTTCGTCATGGCATAAATCAAAGGCTCCGTATGTTATGTATTTCTTTGTGATTTTTATGTTTATGGTTGATAACATAAACATATGTAATGAAAATGTAATAAGATGCATTGGAAATGAATAAGAGTTAAAAAATACGTATCAAACAGAGTCAAAATATCGACATTGTCGCTTCCAGTTTCATGATCAACTCACCACTTAGTCAAAATATCTCTTGATGATGGGACAAAATCCAACACAAAGCATTTAGTCAAATTTCTTGATTTTTCACTCTATATAAAATTTTATGACGGTTAATTTTCTGCTCTTTATCTTTCGTTGTGGATCGGTCAGAATCGGGAAACTGTTGCTTTCAACAGAAATAAAATGCCCATTTAAAAAAAATTGAAATAAAATGCTAAAAATTAACTCTTCTTTTTTGTCATAATAATAGTTCTATTTTCAACAATTACTATAATTTGAAAACACAAAAATAGATTGGAGCGTTGTAAGTCTTAATCTAAACTAGATGCTTGGTGCCCGGGCGCCCCCCTTTATTTTAATTTTGTGCTAATAGATAAATGAATTCTTGATTTGGAAAAAATAAAATAGCTACACATTTGTTTTTTTTCCCCTTTCTTAGCCAAAAATAAAAATAAACATAAAAATAAAAAAATTAAAATAAAAAAATTATCTGCAAAAGGAGAAAAAATATTATAATCATACAAAAGAATGTGGAGTAATAAAGGGGATAAGTTTATAGTCAAATTTAAATACTATCTTAATTTGATTGATAAATGATAAATGTTAGGAGTTAAAATTCTATAACTATTTTTGTAAAGTAGTTTTTTTGTTTCTCCGAATACAAAGTTTTTTTTTTCTTTTAAAAAGGGATGACACATGGCAGAATGGTTAATGCAATATGGTGCATTTGGAGCCAAAAAATTTTAATCAGAAGTCGCACATCAATATCCTGTATTCTGCTTTAATAGGGTAATATAAGGGATTCATTTGTATATTACACATATTTGTAACAACAAGAGTATTATTTTCGCGAGACAAAATCCCGAATAGGAATTTGGCTTGTAGGATTCCGTTTTGAAGAAAGGGATTTTTTACTTGTAACTTTTGATTTTTTTTTCCCCACTTCTTTTTCAAAGAAAAAATATGACAATTTCATTTGTTTTTATTGCTTTTTTCTTGCGAAGTATCCGGTACTCAGGATTCAGGAATGACAAATTTTTAGTTGGTCCGGAACCATCATGCACCCCAGCGCATTCAATTAAATCGCGGTCAAACACGTGAAGAGGTTCCTGATTTTAATTTTTACCAACGCGCGTATTTAAAGACTAAATTAGGCGCAAAATGGATTAACTCTCGATTCAAATTTCTGGGAGGGTTTTTTCGTCTGTTTATTCTTAACGATGGACAATTTGTCTGGATCTGATATTGTTGATGAGGCAGTAACGTCCGGAGGCCATCGAGGGAAGGCTCCGATTGTAGAAACTAAAATCGCACGAGAATGTGGAAACGATGACTGAATTGACGATATGCTTACTCGAAGTGGATCGATGAGGTACCTTGTTGGGAATCCCAGCTGGATGAATCCAAGATTTGTGGTTGTGAGGAATACAAAGGAGTGTACCAGCAAGTCGATGGAAGTATCTTCTAGTAACAACGGTGAAGGTGGTGGTAGCTCTGTGATTGATCCGATGTATTTAGGTTAAGACAAAATCAATTTTTCATGCTACTTCGTGAAGTGTTTTTTCTTTTTTTTTTGTGATTTCTGAAGAAGTATTTTCTACTTAAGTTTTCATTTATCTCTGGTTTTCTTTTTTTTTTGGTTAATTTTTGTTCATTTGAATATGCTGTAGAGTCTTGTGTATGTTTTAGACGTATATGCTGTTTGTTCGTTGACTTAAACATGAATATACAAATGTGAAGTTCTGCACAACTATTTTTTTTTGGTAATGGTTATCCAGGTTCGATATACTGGTTATCCAAGAAAATTTCTATGCTTATCCAAATTGTATGTGAAGGTTATCGAACCAGTTTACATGCATATCCAGTTTGTTTGTATTGGTTATCCAAATTGATTCTGCTGAATATCCAGTTGTTTTGTATGAGTATCCAACTTATTTGTACGAGTTATCTAAGGGATATATGGTTATCCAAGTGGTTTGTACTGGCTATCCATAATTTTTTGTATGCTTATCCAAGTTTTTTGTGATGGTTACCCAACCAGTTTATATGTATATCCAGCTTGTTTGTATTGGTTATCCAATTTTTTTTTCTTTTTAATTTGTTTTTCAGGTTCTGGAAAAGATGTCAATGGCAAGAAATGTTAGGGGATGATGTTGTGGTGGATGAGGGTTTGCCGATGGAAGTTACATTTGATCTGAAGAGCATTGATTTGGATACTTTTAGTTTAGTGGGTGAGACTGCAAAGTGCGAGGAAGAAGCTTTCTGTTTGTATAATCATCATGCACGAAAGCTTGGATTTAGTGTGAGAAGAGGTAAACAGAAGTTTAGAGGTAAAATTGATGAAGTTAGGATGAAGAAATTTTATTGCAACAGAGAAGGTTTTAAGAAATCTGGTGGGAAGAGCACAAAGTCTCATTTGAGGATTGATTTTCGGTGTGGGTGTGCAGCCTATATCTATTTTAGTATTAGCAAGGATGGGGTATGGACTTGTGTGAAGCATTTTGTTCATCATAATCATGATCTTGTGCTGGATGGCCAGAGTGGTCTTCTTCGCTCTCAACGAGAAATAGATGAAAATGACATAAAGATATTGGTAGATATGAGAAGAAGAGGGATTCCTTTTGTTGATGCATTTAAGTTTATTTCAAGATTACATGGTAGATCTCCTAACATGAAGTACATGTTGAAAGAAGCTTACAATCACTATAGGGATGGTGTTGCATTCGAAGGTGGCGATTGTAACCAGCTGATGCAGATTTTCCATCACATGAGTGAGATTGAAGAAGATTTCTTCTACGACTTTGATAGTGATGATAATGGCAGGCTGTGTACTTTCTTCTGGAGTGATGGCCGGATGCGTAAGGATTATGGCTTTTTTGGTGACTTGCTTGTGTTTGGTACCACGTATCGAACAAACAGGTATGGGATGATTTGTGCTCCGTTCATTGGTATGGATAACCATAATAAGAATGTCATGTTTGGTTGTGGTTTTGTGTTAAATGAGAACGAACCCTT